TAGCCTAAATATTTTAATCGATGTAGAACGTTGAACACACATTTTCGTCTATTGGATAATATATGTCCGTTTTTAAAATTTCGAATCACAGTATATGCAGAAAAAAAAAATGATTTTTTTTTTTACTTTATGTATTATATGATGATTCAAAACAGTTAAAAACAAATCAAACAAAGATGATAGGAGAATCATAATTATAAATCTTAATCAAATCTTCTAAATATCTGAATTATTAAATATGGAATATCCGGTGTATGAGTTGGGTTAAATATAACCCGACCCAACAAATTTTTTGTGAAAGAATTTTAAAAACGGGTCGGGTATCCGATATACCCGAAAACATTTTTACCCACCCGTCACCAAAGTGTTGCAAAAATACTAGTATAAATTGCTAAGAGGTATTTCTAAGATACTACCAATAATCATGCTCTTAAGAGAGTTAAAAAAACCCCATCAGAGTAAGTTATAGAAGAGACTAATATGATCTCAACTAACAACAGCCTCATCTCGTATGTCAAATGCTGTTAGATTGGTGTCCAACGAATAGCGCGAGAGGATGATCCATTTGGAGCCATTTCTTTGAAGTGCCAGTGCTTTATAGTATTCAACTTGATTATTTAGTGTAGTGGTTTGTATACATTATACTATTTGTATACTATTTTGAATTCCGCGTACTGCTGCGTTTAAGTAGTAAAGAATTTAATTTAGGTCTGAAAACTCGTTGTATTTATCAAAACGAAATGAAAAATTCATTAAGGATGCATGGCTTATAACACGGTGAATGGCTTATAACGAAAATGAACGCAAAACAAGAAGAACAAGAAGAAGAAAATGAGCATAACCAAAGAAAGAAAGTTAACTACTACAAATTTATTCTATGGTAGGTTATTGAAACCACCAATAGCCGTGAGTATCGGAGACTTCGGATCAGGCTACGGTCAGGTCGAGAATTAAAGTCATTTGACGCCTTTAAAAATCAATTACGCGAAAAATCGGTTTTAGCTGCTATCTTTTTTATATGCCTTTCATTGGAAAAAAGCGAAAAAATTAAAAAAAAAAAAAAAAAACCATAAAACAAAGACGAGCCATCTCTGATTAGATCTACACTTCTCCTCGCACCAAAATTTTGCCAGTTTTCGTTCATTTGTTCATAACATTTTCGCGAATTCAAAATGGATTTCATGAAGGTCTTCGATCAAACGGTTCGAGAGATGTGGGTTTGCCGTTTTCTTTATCGATCCAAATCCGTGAGATCTTTTTTGGTTCTATATTTTTTTCGATTGATCTCGATTCGTTTTCAATTACAGAAAGAGGGAGGTGAATCTGAAAGTTTTGAAGGTCCCTGAGATGGAGCAAAAGGTGAATTCATTTGATTCGTATCCATATCTGCAAAGTGTTTGCATGATTAATATGCAAAATGATCGATAACTTTCTATAGATTTAGCTATTGCATCGAAAATCGACACTAATCCTGGAAAATTGAGCTGGATTTGTTATGTTTATGTGTTCGGATGCCGAGTTTGTTCACAGTTGCTATCTTCCGATGCTGTATCTGAGATTAGATCCATCTTTAGGACTCACAAATCTCCAGTTCTTGTTCATTGGATATACAAGTTAAGCTTGAAGCCTTGAACCTCCATGTTTATATTAGTCATGTGTAGTATCATAGTTTGCGGGATTTTCTGTTTGATCATGTCTTCTAATTCAGTTTGTTCATCTCGAGTTCTGTGATAACTTTTTGTAATTATATGGCTATGTTTAGTACAGGTATTGGATGCTACAGATAATGAGCCTTGGGGTCCCCATGGTACTGCATTGGCAGAGATAGCACAGGCCACCAAGAAATTGTAATCTCTGGCTTCATTTTTGCGATTCTACTTTGAAATTTTTTTACGATTTGTTTAGTGGTTAACATGTGCGTTTGCCATATGTTTAGCTCGGAGTGCCAGATGGTTATGAGTGTTTTGTGGACTAGACTAAGTGAGACAGGAAAAGATTGGCGATATGTCTACAAGGTGAGAGAGAATCTTCTTGATGTTTTCCTGCGTTATTTGGAAGTTTATAGTTTTGGTCTATCCTGAGGTTTTTTTTTTCTTTTTCTGCCAGGCATTGGCTGTTGTTGATTATCTGATTTCAAATGGATCAGAACGAGCGGTTGATGAGATTATTGAGCATACGTACCAATTATCTGTCAGTATATTTTTCTTTATTGATATGCAGTTCTCTCGCGCTAGAGATTGTGTTTTTTTTTTCTACTGACATTATCTTTGTTTTGTGATTTGTCATCCATGTAGTCACTCACGAGTTTTGAGTATGTTGAACCAAATGGAAAGGATGTGGGAATCAACGTGAGAAAGAAGGCGGAAAACATAGTCGCTCTCTTGAATAATAAAGAGAAAATCTCAGAAATCAGAGACAAAGCAGTAGCAAATCGTAACAAGTTAGTTGTTTTTACACAAGTGAAAATTACTGGTCTGTCCATTCTTCTTTCGACTTGTCCTTGAACTGTTTTTTCTGCCTCCAATTAGGTATGTTGGCCTCTCATCAACGGGAATAACATATAAATCTGGTTCCTCAGCTTCATTTGGTGGTAGTTTTCAAAGTGGTTCAAGCAATTATGACAGCTACAAGGATAAGGATTCCAGAGAAGAGAAGAATGACTACGAGTCTTTTCAAAAGTCAAGACGTGGTGTTAAAAGCGAGGAGCAAAGCTACACTTCTAAGAAGAGTTTTTCACGTTATGGCAGGTTTTATGTCAACCCCATTCATTTTCTGATGTTCGTTACAGATTTTGGGTATTTTGACTTTGGGAGTTTTCTTTTCCTAAGGAGGCTGCTTGTGTGCTTTTCTTTTCTTATTTCTGTTTTTGTTTATGAGTCCATTAGTCTCATTTTGTGTACCATTTTTCTGATGTCGAGTGAATTAATCTTGCAATCTTGCTCACTCGAGTTCAATTCTGAATGTGCAGCACGGACCATGACAATCTATCCAGTGGAAAAAAGTCACCCGATTCTGCCAAACATAGTTCATATGTATCTGCAGCTCCTTCAAACAACGATGATGATTTCGATGATTTTGATCCACGTGGAACTTCCAGCAATAGTATGTTTCTCTCTACAACTGCTGAGTTTGCAGATTGTTTATCATTTATTGGGGAAAAAGTTGGTTTGATAAATTATTGCGCACAACATGTATATATGATAGATGCGTATGCATGTCTTATCTGTATGGTATTTCTTTTTGGCAGAGCCATCAACAGCCAGTGCCAAACAAGTGGACCTTTTTGGAGGGGATCTGATTGGTGACCTCTTGGATTCTGGGCCAACAGAAACATCTTCCACCAACAACAACGAGAATTTTCAAGAGGCGGACTTGTTTGCTGATGCAGCTTTTGTATCAGCCTCGGCTCAGGGAACTGAATTTGGGTCACAGACACAGGTGGGTGACTTCTTTCATCTAAGCTAGTACACGGCTTTTAACTATGGAAAATTCCCTTATTAATTGTCCAATCATGTGAGGCAATAATTTCGCGCTACTTGACAAAAACATTTAATTTTCGCTGTAGAAGTCTTTCTTTACACCTCACGATTACTTGTGCTGTCGAATCTTGGACTGATGTGTTTCCGCATTTCTGTTTCTACAGAAAGAGGTTGATCTTTTCTCTGCGTCTGAACCTTCTTTCACAGTTTCATCAGCTCCTCCGACGGTTGATCTTTTTGCATCTTCTGAATCAGTTGCAAGCCCAGAAGCCAAGATATCTAAACCCGAGTCTATGACAAATCCTAACATTGTTGACCCTTTTGCTGCAGTTCCTATGGATAATTTTGATGGATCTGATCCTTTTGGTGCCTTCACTTCCCACTCAGCTTCAGTCTCTACAGGTCCACAAGCTCCAAGTGTACATGGGAGTGCAACAAACACCACAAGCCCGCTTTCTTTGGCAGGCTTGAAGCCACAACACTTGCAAAAGAAAGATCCTTTCCAGGTGAAATCTGGAGTTTGGGCAGATTCGCTGAGCCGTGGACTGATTGATCTCAATATAACTGCTCGTAAGTCGAAACTTCCTCTTTTATCAAGAACTCTCTCATGTGAGATGCACTAGTGAACTAAAAAAAAAACAAATTGTTTTGCTTTCTCATTAGATGCAGTCCAAACCCACAAGGTATAGTTGTTCGATTACATTCCAGCTAATGTTCAAATGGTACATTCTGCCAGTCAACATTCATAGCTCATATAAAGTTCCAATACCATGTAGCTTGTCTTTGCATTGTGTCAAGACAAATAAATTGTCGGGGTTTTACTTTCTAAGTCCGATCTTAGTCTTGATTATTTTATTTCCCTGTAATCAGCCAAAAAAGCTTCTCTAGCTGATGTGGGCGTTGTGGGTGATCTGAGCAATGATGAAGGGAACAAAGCATCTGCTGCATCGTACTACTCAGGCTGGTCCATGGGTGCAGGATCCGGGCTCGGTAAAACCGGTCTATACAGTGCACAGCAGCAACAACAACAACAAGCACCTGATATCTCAGATGATTTCTTCTCCAGCCTCAGTAACCAAAGGTACCAATCTGGTGGCTTTAAGCAGTGAAATTGTCTTTGATTTGGTGTTGAGATGAAAAAGCATATCTGGTTTGATTCTACAGTCGATACTTGAAAATGTAAGTTTTTTTAATGGGTTTGTTGTTCTTGCACTTCATTCATGGGACAATCTGGTCGGTGGCTGATGTGCCATTGTTGTTGTGGCATTTACTTCGAGTTTAAATGAGAGAGAAGAATTGTCTTTATGGTTTTTGATAAGAGAGTACTTTTATTATTGGTTTAAGTTTCGTTTTGTTCATAGAACAAAGTATATGTATCTCCTCCGACTCAACAAAGATTTTTTATCGTGTGTGATTCTTAATCCCAAAGAGACTCCAACTTTCTTCTCAGTTGTCTTAATGATTTATTCACATTCTCATTGACAAAGTTCATTCTTAATGATTATGTTAACACTAATCTTATCTTACACAATTTGGTTCTCCGGTCACGAATGAATAAAAATAGTATAGATTAATCTTATCTACAAAGAAAATGAGTAGTGCAGACAAAAAAAAAACAGTCCAACACCAAAATAAAAAATGTCATCTCTTCACTGGTTTCCCAATTTCTTCATCGTTTTCGTCGTCTTCTTCTCCTCACATGGAAGCGGAAGCTCACAAGTTGTACTAGAAGAAGAAGAAGCCACAGTCGTTGGATACGGCTACGTCGTTAGATCAGTGGCCGTTGATTCTAACCGGCAAGTTTTGACGGCGAAGCTTGATCTGATAAAACCATCGTCCGTTTATGCACCAGATATTAAATCGCTAAGTCTTCATGTCAGGTCATTATAATCTTCTCTCTCTAATATCCAGAAACTTTATATTTAGCAAGTTTTTCAAATTAATGTAAATGTGCGATAATTTAGGAAAGTTTCGCCATTATGATTTATGTGCAGCTTGGAGACGAGTGAGCGTTTGAGAATCAGAATCACAGATTCTAGTCAACAAAGATGGGAGATACCGGAAACCGTTATTCCTCGTGCCGGAAACCACTCTCCTCGCCGTTTCTTAACGGAGGAAGACGGAGGAAACTCGTCGGAGAACAATTTCTTAGCAGATCCTTCATCGGACTTAGTTTTCACACTCCACAACACGACGCCGTTCGGTTTCTCCGTCTCCCGACGCTCCTCCGGCGATATCCTCTTCGACACATCGCCGGATCAATCAGATTCAAACACTTACTTCGTCTTCAAAGACCAATTCCTTCAACTATCTTCCGCGTTACCGGAAAACAGATCGAATCTGTACGGTCTCGGAGAGCACACGAAGCGATCGTTCAAGCTAATTTCCGGTGATACAATGACTCTGTGGAACGCTGACATCGGCAGCGAGAATCCGGATGTTAACCTTTACGGATCGCACCCGTTTTACATGGATGTAAGAGGATCAAACGGCCATGAAGAAGCAGGGACGACTCACGGCGTTTTGCTGCTAAACAGTAATGGAATGGATGTGAAGTATGAAGGACATCGGATTACTTACAATGTGATTGGAGGCGTAATTGATCTCTATGTGTTCACCGGACCATCGCCAGAGATGGTGATGAATCAGTACACTGAGCTTATTGGAAGACCTGCCCCTATGCCTTACTGGTCATTTGGTAAGAGACATTGCTCTGTTCATTTTGTTTGGTTAAAGTTTAGTCCAAAGCATTATGAGATAATATACTTGTTTGTGTGAATTGAGATGTGTGTTTTGCTTTGATTTTGTGAAGGATTTCACCAGTGTAGGTATGGGTACAAGAATGTTTCAGACCTTGAATCTGTAGTTGATGGATATGCAAAAGCTGGAATACCTCTTGAGGTTATGTGGACTGACATTGATTACATGGATGGCTACAAAGACTTCACTTTGGATCCCGTGAATTTCCCGGAGGACAAGATGAAATCATTTGTCGATACACTTCACAAGAGCGGTCAGAAATACGTGCTGATCTTGGATCCCGGTAAACACTCGTATACTATCTCTAGTCTCTAGTGTCTTCATCAAATTGATTCAAGACATTGAAAATTTTGGGTTTACTTGTAGGTATTGGTGTGGATAGCTCTTACGGGACCTATAACAGAGGAATGGAAGTGGATGTTTTCATCAAAAGAAATGGTGAGCCTTATCTCGGTGAGGTTTGGCCCGGAAAAGTATACTTCCCCGACTTCTTGAATCCAGCTGCTGCAACTTTCTGGAGCAACGAAATCAAGATGTTCCAGGAGATTCTCCCTTTGGATGGTCTGTGGATTGACATGAATGAGATATCAAATTTCATAACTTCGCCTCTATCCTCTGGATCTTCACTCGATGATCCTCCTTACAAGATCAACAATTCAGGGGATAAAAGACCGATAAACAATAAGACAGTACCCGCAACATCTATCCATTTTGGAAACATTAGTGAATACGATGTGCATAACTTGTATGGGCTCTTGGAAGCTAAAGCCACTCACCAAGCTGTGGTGGATATAACAGGAAAGAGACCGTTTATTTTGTCGAGATCCACGTTTGTAAGCTCGGGGAAATACACGGCTCACTGGACTGGTGATAATGCTGCAAAATGGGAGGATTTGGCCTACTCAATCCCTGGAATCCTCAATTTTGGTCTGTTTGGGATTCCAATGGTTGGAGCTGATATCTGCGGGTTTTCACATGATACCACCGAGGAATTATGCCGTCGATGGATCCAGGTAGAGTGATTAATTCTCAAACATAACCTGTAGATTTTTTTCCTGAGTTCATGATCTAACTCTGGCTCTTAGATTATCAGCTTGGAGCTTTTTACCCTTTTGCAAGAGACCATTCGTCCCTTGGTACCGCCAGACAAGAACTATACCTCTGGGATTCGGTTGCTTCTTCTGCAAGAAAGGTTCTCGGTCTCAGAATGAGACTGCTCCCACATCTCTACACATTGATGTACGAGGCTCATATCAGCGGCAACCCAATCGCGCGACCACTCTTCTTCTCGTTTCCTCGAGACACTAAAACCTATGAGATCGATTCCCAGTTTTTGATTGGTAAAAACATAATGGTTTCTCCTGCGCTGAAGCAAGGGACGGTGGCCGTGGATGCATATTTCCCTGCTGGAAACTGGTTCGATGTTTTTAACTATTCCTTTGCCGTTGGTGGAGATTCTGGCAAGCACGTTAGGCTTGATACTCCCGCTGATCACGTCAACGTTCATGTTCGAGAAGGTAATAGCATATTCTTTGATAGCCAGTTTTTAATAGGCAGAGTTGAGCTTGAACCGCGCAAGTTTGGTTTAACTTTGTGAACAGGTAGCATTGTGGCTATGCAAGGAGAGGCATTGACGACTAGGGACGCCAGAAAGACACCGTATCAGCTTCTAGTTGTAGCCAGCCGGCTTGAGAACATCTCCGGTGAACTGTTTCTCGATGAGGGAGAAAACGTACGGATGGGAGCTGGAGGAGGAAACCGTGATTGGACCCTCGTGAAGTTCCGGTGCTTCGTGACAGGAAAATCCGTGGTACTGAGATCAGAAGTGGTGAACCCAGAGTACGCGTCGAAAATGAAATGGAGCATCGAGAAAGTGACGTTTGTTGGGTTCGAGAACGTAGAGAGCGTGAAAACGTACGAGGTTAGGACAAGTGAGAGATTAAGGAGTCCGAGAATCTCTCTAATTAAGACGGTTTTGGACAATGATGATCCGAGGTTTCTCAGTGTGGAGGTTTCTAAACTGTCGTTGCTTGTTGGAAAGAAGTTCGAGATGAGATTGAGATTGACTTGAAGAAGTATATAAACCCAATATTGATGGGGAAATTGTGGATGCTTAATGAATAAAAGGAGTGAAGAAGAGATAAAAAGGAGTGAAGAAGAGTCATCAAGTAAAGAAAAGATTTCATGATTGTATAAACTCCAAATCACTTAAAGAAATGCGATTTGATAAACCCAAAATCAATTATATATAGTTTGGTCCATTATTTACTACTCCAAATAATAGTGTTTTTGAAGGGTTCAGATATCATCCATCAATAAGGTTTTTTCTTCTTATATCATAGATATTTTCCATTCTCCTCTCCAATTCGTTAGTTTTTTTTTTCATTCTGAAAAATTATTAACAGCCACATGTGTGGTATGCCCAAAAGGAAAAGAAGAACATATTTGTATCAATCAAAAGATATATAACCACTTTAATTAGATTTACCTTGTACTAGTTTATTAAATTTAAAATTTCTGATAACATCCTTTATTAATGTAATAAAATTAAAAAGGAAACCAAATCAGGAAAAAAAAAAAAAAAATGAACGTCATGATCTGATTCCGATATTAACCCAAAAAGTCTACGCGGTCTAGTCTAACGCAAAAACAGTTTCGGCGTCTTCCTCACTTTACTTTTCAATCTCGTCTTCTCCATGAATCATCTCTCTCTCTCTCACGGATTCGTAACATAATCTCAGTGCTTCTCCGTCATCTTCGCATTATTGGTTCTTACTTCGCTGTAAGCTCGACACGTGGATTATTCCTCTGCTTTTTTTATTTTTTCCCTTTTCGTGAAGATTCGTTTCCAGTATCTGTGAAGACTTGATGGAATTAGTTTCTTAAAGTAGCTCCCTCTTAGATCCGAGTTTCGATTTGCTTGACCGGTGAAGAATCAGTGGTTGAAATCAACTAGATACTATCGATTTCGGTTGATTTATATTGAAAACTTGCCTGACTTTTGTTTATTCTGTCGTGCTGGTGAAGTCTCAAGCTACTTCGTGAACTTTGTGATTAGAGGAGGAGATCTAGAGTTCTAGTTTTAGCAATTCATTGACTTCCAATTTTGCCTTAGTTGATTCAGATTCAGAACATAGCTTTAGATCACGTTAGAAGCAGAATCATAATCTGCAAATCGGTTGTTTAGATTGCTGCTACTAGAAATTGGTATTAGCTTTTGTTAGTGTTAAGGATGCAGAATAGGATTGTACAGTTGGAAGAAGGAAAAGAAAATGGAATTCCGATTGTTCGATCAGGGCAGTATAAGGGATTCCCGTCGAAACTGCTGCTTCTGTTAGGGTTTTTTCTTGCTTTTTCTGTTACTGTCTTCATCATTAGTGTATCTACAATCAAGTTTTCTGGTATACAAAGTGTAGTAACCACAGTGACTTCAAGCTTTGTGCCTTGCCGTGAGGAAGAACCGAATAGTTTGAGTAAATGGATACAGCCTCCTGCGGTTCTGATGCATAACATGAGTGATGAAGAGCTCCTTTGGCGTGCTTCTTTTTGGCCTCGGAGAAAAGAATATCCGTTTAAACGAGTTCCGAAGATTGCGTTTATGTTCTTGACTAAAGGCCCCTTGCCGCTTGCTTTGCTTTGGGAGAGGTTCTTAAAGGGTCACAAAGGGCTTTACTCGGTTTACCTTCATCCACACCCATCTTTTACAGCCAAGTTTCCATCTAGCTCTGTTTTCTACCGGAGGCAGATACCGAGCCAGGTCTGGTTCTTTTAATCCTCTTCTGTTACATGGATACCAATTACATATTGTATGAGAAATTGGAGCTCTTGGTTTCATTAGAAGTCTTTTTGGCATACTGCCTCGATAGCCTTTTTGGATGTGGTGTAGTCATTCCTTTTGAAATATATAACTGTTCATTGAGTGATTATTTTACACTGAGTGTTAGACAATGTAACTCTTGAATCAAACTTGGTTTCTTAAGTAGTCTTTTGTTCAAGCAGTTTTTCTGATCATTTCTAAGCTAGTTGGTTATGTACTTGATTTGATTGTAATTTGGATCATCTGCATTATTGTGCAGGTTGCAGAATGGGGGAGAATGTCTATGTGTGATGCAGAGAAGCGGCTTCTCGCCAACGCACTGCTAGATATCTCCAACGAATGGTTTGTTCTTGTCTCAGAGTCATGCATTCCACTCTTCAACTTCACAACCATCTACAGCTACTTAAGCCGATCAAAACACAGCTTCATGGGTGCTTTTGATGACCCTGGACCGTTTGGGCGTGGCCGCTACAACGGGAACATGGAACCTGAAGTTCCCCTTTCCAAATGGCGAAAAGGGTCTCAATGGTTTGAGGTTGACAGGGACCTCGCAGCTACCATTGTCAAAGACACATTGTATTACCCGAAATTCAAAGAGTTCTGCAGGCCTGCTTGCTATGTGGACGAGCATTACTTCCCAACGATGTTGACAATTGAGAAACCAACGGTCTTGGCTAACCGAAGCTTGACATGGGTGGACTGGTCGAGGGGAGGGCCCCACCCAGCTACGTTTGGGCGATCTGACATTACAGAGAAGTTCTTTGAAAGGATCTTTGATGGAAGAAACTGCAGTTACAATGGTGGCAACACTTCCATGTGTTATCTCTTTGCAAGGAAGTTTGCTCCGAGTACTCTGGAGCCTTTGCTTCACATTGCTCCCAAGGTTCTTGGATTTTGAGTAGTTTAGTAATGTCTCTCTGAACCTCTTGACATCAAATAGAGAGATCACGAAATGGGTGTGATATGGATTCTGTGGGAGATTTTACACCGATATTATTTTATTTTGTTTGTTGTGATATAGTTTGGAAGAAATGAGATTTTAGTAGAGGGAAAATAGGTTGCACGACAGGATCCAGCCATATGTAAACTTTATATTTTAAAGAATTACTATGCAAAGATCAGTAGTTTTTCTTTCGTATACTCTTGTGATGCACTATTGAATCACAAATTTTCTTTTCTATTCTTGTGTCTGATTTATCCGGATTGTTCAGTCCTAAATCCTTTGACCGTTGTGCCTAAACTGTGTTTATATGTCTCTAACTCATTTTCTTTTATTATGTCTCTTAACTCATTTGCTTTTATCGTAACAAGTTAGAGGATAAAATCGTTTTTATGTTAGTTCTAGAGTTAACTCATTTTTTATTATTCTAACAAAAACGAACAAACCTCTTCTCAACATGGATTATACATAAAAAGCTAGTATTGGTAAATTGTTTACCGACCTGAAAACAAAAGAAAGAAATTGCTTACCGACCAAGATTTTGGGGCTTTGAATGTGAAAAACCATAAGACCATAACTAAATGACAATGGGAACACAAACATAGCCAGGTGGAGAGACACACTTTTACACCGAATCGAAGTTTCTCGAAGCCCTCAAGAGCCTGCCAACGTCTACCATCCGTCTTTTTTTCCCCTCTTTAAAAAAAAACAATAAAGGTATCCTTTTTTGGCAATTAATTAAAGTATGTGAAAAGGTTTCATTTGAGGTAAAGAAGGTTTCAATTTTATTATTTAGAATAGAATATGTTCTTTAGGATAGAAAGAAAGTCCACAAAATCCACCATCTTTTATATATATTTTTTAAATATTTCATCTTTTTTTCTCTTCTCAAAAAATAATTTCATTGATTTTCCTTCAAACTGACTATTTCTATTAATTAGAGGAGAAATATCCACCCATTCAATTAAATTGTGTCACATTTTTTCTCCAATATATAAAAATCAAATCTATATGGTTTTAAATGCTATTTATAGTTATTGAGAAACAAATCAATTTTGTAAAATTATCATAATCATTAAAAGAAATAAAATATATATTATTCTCCTAATCAACTGAAATTAATTATTGAAAAACATTTTTTTGTTTTAATATATCCACCGTTTCCTTATATTCTAATGTTTTCAATATCATTTAGATCTTCTATAATTCCAAAAATAGAAAAAAAAAAGAGTATTCCATTCTTCTTATAAAAAATTTATTTTTAAAATACCATGGTTTGTTTACCAAACAATAACATAATTGCGCACCACGTTCTAAAATTCCCTTAAAAAATAAAAATTAATCAACATTGGTTGACTAAGGATTCATTAATGCTTCTACACCTAGAGGTCTGGGTTCGAATCCCAGATACTGCAATTTATTAATAAATTTGCAGATTATTGGAGGCAAGTGTGCAGGAGATCTCCAGCGATATACAATTATAGCCGTTCGTTAGGATTCCATACAGAGAAGGAAGTGTCCATGAAAAAGGAGGTGAAGGAGATGAGCATGAAGAATGAGGTGAAGGAGTTAAGCATGAAGGAGGTGAAAAAGATGAAAGAGGTCGTGGATCTAATAAGGGTCGGAAGGAATTGTCCGTTGTAGAATCGTCTATATAACAGTTCTCATAATTTGCAATAAATAATAAATTCAGACGAAAAGAAAAAAAAATCAACATTGCTTCGAGAAATCAAAGACTAGGCTTTTTTTGTCTCAACAAAACGTCGTCGTATTTCCAAAAGCTCATTTTAACATTAGCCGTTACACGAACCATGTGCAAAAGAAATGGTCCCCACTCCCAACAAATACAAGTCTGCGCATCTTGGCCGTTTCCGTCACGGAACCGCGTTTGCCGTGACTGTTAAAAAAAATAGACAGCTCATCAAATTCTCCACGCGCCAACACACCAGACCGTTGTTCCTTTTTAGTTCAGAGAGTTAGATCCACGCGCCTCGTTGAGCGTTTACAAAAATTCCCTCATAAAATATCCTCAAACGGCGCCTAACGGAGAAAGATGACCTGTCGAAATCTCAGTGAATACGCGGAGCAATATCAACCGTCGATGATTAAATCCCAGCTGGAAAAATCTGGGCAACTAAACCAACTAAACCGGGCAGCTTCACATCTGCCCGACCTCTTTATAAACCCCTCACCACTTATCATTATAGAAAACCCTTGAGCTTAAGCAAATTCAAAGCAACACTAGAAACCCTAGCCTCTCTCTTTATCTCTCACAACAAATCTCTTTACTATTTGAAATGGCGATCTCTAAGGCTTCCATTGTTGTTCTCATGATGGTGATCATCTCCGTCGTTGCTTCAGCTCAATCTGAGGCACCAGCACCAAGTCCTACATCTGGATCTAGTGCGATCTCAGCTTCTTTCGTCTCTGCTGGAGTTGCAGCAGTGGCGGCTCTTGTTTTTGGCTCTGCTCTTCGGATCTAAGTTACTGTGATGGTGATTTCGTACAGAGATTGTTTTTGCAGCTTATGATTATGATTATTTCATTCGTCGTCTCGTGTGTATTCCTCCGAAGCTTATAGATCTCAGTTCTATGTGGCCTCTTCTTCTTCTATCTTCAATCTTCATATCTGTATGAGGATATCATTATTATTTCTTTTAGAGAGTATTTGTGGTTTGTGATTTTCTAGACGATTTATTATTATTAGTTATGTGATATGGTTTTTGATATGATATATGGATCTTATTCTATTTATTTTATATTGATGTCTCTCGAGAGTTTTCTTTTATTCTTCGCATCTGCTTCTGCTACGGATTAAAATCGAATAAATCCAACTCAAAAGCGAACTTTTAATCTAATAAAAATGGATTTGAGAAACCATTTATTTTATTATTTGTTGAAACGGATTCTAAACAAACTGATCCAAATTAGAAATTATACGATCGGTTCAATTTCGCTTTCCAGCTACATTTTGGTTTTCTTGAATGAACTATGAAACTTTGAAGTAGAGGCGTTACTTAATGATCTGCATCGAAGTAATCAGTAAAGTTACAGTTCCAAGTGTCAATTTCTCCTGTTTTCAGCTGAAGAGTTACAGAACCGATACAAAAGCTTGAGCTTTCGTTATCAGGTAGGAAGAAAAAATGATGTTATTATTAAGTCGTCGTCCCTTAAAGAAGATTTAACAACGGAATTAAGTTTTCTTAGTAGACGCCAAATTTGGTCAAGATTGAGAGAAAAGTTGTAGACTTATTTGATGACTTTTGTTGGCAGAAATTACAAGTTGTTGAAGCTTTTTCAGACGTTAAAGAACAATCAACGGCTGATTAGTAGCACATATGTGTGGATGTCGGAATCCGCAATACAATTTTAAGATGTGTGTCGGGTCGTTTAGCCTTGTTAATTCAAATAACAATCGTTAAAAAAAAAACAAAAGAGTGAAGTATATGTATTTGTTTATTGCTCAAGAATTCTGTCCCCAATACAATGGTTTTCGTTTTCTATTTATAATTACATGATTCGAAACCGAAGTCGCTCATCAAACCGCAGATCTCGCCTTCATTATTGCTTCCGTTTCGAATTTTCCCGATCTAGCAGATCCCGTGCAACCCGCCTTTCATTTAACTCGTGAGATCCCGACGTTTCACTCGAACTGGGCTGCAACTTATTGGGCCGCTCTTTTCGTCCCCTGGACCGGGCCGACGGCCCACTTCGTCTTATTGATCCACTATCTTTCCGGGCCGGATCCGAACTGCGGGATCCGACACCAACAATATGTAACACTTGGGATATGTAACGTGTTGTATAGCTACGTTGGGTTTTCATAGTTCACCTAATCCTACTTTACAGGTGCCTATGGATTAGGTTTAGGTTATTTGTGTGTTTACTTCTATTAAATATTAATGCCATCATTTTTCAAAACACTCTCTAATCAATTTTCCACTATGGGGCACCCAAATTCTACAAACCTGGCTCTGTAAATTTCAACTTATCGGATCTACAAGGCAATAATTACAAATTTTAAATGCAATAATTCTATTTTCACATGATTCACCGTTTGGTTTTTATGTATTTATTTGGCTTATGATTGGTTTCTTTACTTTGTAAGCCACCTGTTTATCGGGAAAAATGTCATTTAAATCATCAGTTTACCATTTTTGTTGGTTTAAATCATGAACTTTAGATCTGGTGGTTTAAATCCTTACTTTTATGTTATTTTTCATTTTAATCATGAATTTCCATTGACAAAGTCAAATGATGCACATCGCTAACTGGCTAAACGGATTAATAAGATGATATCATCGCAGAACTGGCACTTCGAAGCCATCACATAATTTTTCTTCTAAACTAACATGGTTTTCATCTTCTTCTTTGTCAGATTGTTCTGTTTAGCCAGTTAACGATGTGCCCCAATTGGCTTAGTCTACGAGAATTCGTGATTAAATTGAAAGTCAACATAGAATTGAGGATTTAAATCACCAGGTCCACATAAAATTGAGAATTTAAATCACCAGATACAGAGTTCATGTTTTAAACCAACGAAAATGGCAAACTGATGATTTAAATGACATTTTTCCCCTGTTTATTACTATTTGCAAAATGTAACTAGAAAAATATAACTGGGCTTTTATATCCCCCGTTTATTAGGCCCAGTGGGTATCTATTATCTGACTCAATTAAATCGTTGACCAATTTTAGATATTAATAAAATAAAATTCGTTGGTAATATACATAAAGGTTTAAGAAATTGATTTTGGCGGAGAAGAAAGAAAAAGCAGAGGAATCTCCATGGAGAACAATCCAAAGATACGATCATCAGATTATCTTCCTGAAGATCTGATCGCACAGATTCTGGTGAACTTGCCGTCGAAATCCGTAGTCAAGCTCATCGTCGTCTCGAAACTCTGGTCTTCTATAATCCGCAGCAAATCTTTCATCGATCTGTACTTGGAACGATCCCTGACTCGTCCGTGTTTACTCTTCTCATTCCATCGTATCAACCGCCGGTTCTTCCACTCAATCTCTCAGGAAGCAATCTCTGAGGAGGCAACACCGGAGTGTTCTTACACCAATACATCAAGCTTTCCTCTGAGTCTTGATACGCGTCTCCCTCCACTAAGCTACAACGTTTGTACACCGGTACGCGGCTTGATATGCTGTCAAGATTTGGATGATGTGGTGGTTTCGAATCCTAGCACGGGCCAATTCTTGGTTTTACCAAAACTCAACACTAAGAGAAAACAAATATCAAGATTCTTCGGATATGATCCCATTGAAGATGAATACAAAGTCTTGTGCATGACGGTATTGCAAGTTTCTTATGATTACGGTCCCGTCGTGAGCGAAGAGCATCAAGTTTTCACTCTAGGAGGAACAGAGAAGAAGAAAGAAGCAACGTGGAGAATGATCACATGTAAGGCTCCACATTGTCCTGCAACCGAAGGGATATGCATTGACGGTGTTGTTTATTACGGAGCTTGGCCCAACAGTAAAAACAGAGGATCTCTAATTGTGGGCTTTGATGTGAGGTTGGAAGAGTTTACTCTTGTTAAATTACCCGATGGTGTCGAAATTTATTATAGTCTTGATTCTGAATTGGTGAACTACCAGAGGAAGCTAGCTGTAGCGAATCTCTCATATAGGGGTAAATTTGAATTGTGGGTTTTGGACAAACAAGAATGGTCAAAGATCTCAGTTATGGTTCCTTCTTGGAAATATTTGTTTGGACGAGACTTGTTCCGTTGCAGAGGTGCCATTAGTTCCGGCGAATTCATATTCACACCATTGCTTTCGGCTTGGGCGTCCGTTATTATCAGTTACGATCGCAAGGAAGAGATCGCCAGAAGAGTTGAGATTGAAGGAGTTGAAGATCGTGCGCATTATATGAAAGTCTTCTTGGATCATGTAGAGTGTCCTATACTTCTCTAAAGGACTTCTTATAGTCTGTTTGATGACTTAGCTAGTTTATGACTTCAGATCCATTTGTCTAGTTTCTTAGATCTATCTAGTTCAATGGTTCTCTGGCTTGATTAAAAGTAAGTTTTAGTTTTCTCTACAACTAAGTTATTTTCATATTTGGTTACAGTAGAATTGGATATCAAACTGCCTTGCTTTATTAAACCTATAGACAATGACTTATATACACAATTGTAGCTAGGGTTTACACACACCGACTAACCGTAACCCATACGTAACAAGCCCACAATATTAAGCCCAATAATACATATGTTATATCCCCAATAGTTACCTTTGGAGAGAAGCAGCAAATTCTTATACATATTCTGTCTTTTATGGTGATTACTTCAAAGGGTTTTTCTTTGTTAACAAGGTTCTCTTGCTCATACTCTCCATCAAATTGGTGTATAAGGATCCTTGGCACATATTAATGTGAAGACAGATTCAGTAAATTTTTTCTGTTAATATCAGTTAGTTGCTCTGCAGACAGAGCATATGACAACAATTATGCTGGAAAAAAAAATCCAACATAAGAAGAAAAAAAAAAAAAAAATCAACGAGAAAGGGTTTTATTTGTTGTAAGCAAAACGTTCAAGGGTTCATTTTATGTAATCATAAATACAGCAGGGGTTTATATGCAAATTACCAATAAAGAAAAGGAGAAAAAATGAGCACTGGTGGAGCAACGATGGTTTTAATTTTAAAGATCACATTTTATTAGTATGTCCAGTTTCCATAAGGTCTCTCCAATTAAGATGTGTCCTTTTTGGAATTGAAACTTCTCATCTCCCATTTGCATAGTCTCTTTGATCTAACGCAATGATTCTGGCGTGATTTAGAGTAAGTTTCATAGTTTTAACAAATATTTTTATTGTTAAACTGCAAAAACAAAAAATTATAGAAAATCCTTATGAAATTTTGACTCAAAATAACAATAATTATTTTAACATTTTGTCTCCCGCACAAATCGTTTATGGATCCGCATGTAACGTGTTGTGAGATATGTGTTGCAACGTTGGGCTTTCATAGTTTAATAATCCTACTTTAGAAGTGACTTTCGATTAGATTTAGGTTATTTATGTGTTTACTTCTATTAATGTATCATTTTTCAAAACACTCTCTAATCAATTTTGCACTATGGGGCACCCAAATTCTACAAACCTGGCTCTGTAAATTTCAACTTATCGGATCTACAAGGCAATAATTACAAATTTTAAATGCAATAATTCTATCTTCACTTGATTCACCGTTTGGTTTTGAGGTTTTTATGTATTTATTTGGCTTATGATTGGTTTCTTTACTTTGTAAGCCACCTGTTATTATTATTTGCAAAATGTAAAATAAAAAGTTCTATTTCTAGAAATATAACTAGAAAAATATAACAGGTCTTTCATATCACCCGTTTATTGAGGCCCATTGGATACATAGCATCTGACTCAATTACTCAAAAGTCATATCGTCGACCAATTTTAGATGTTCTATTAATAAAGTAAAATTCGTTGGTATATATAATAACGGTTTAAGAAATTGATTCTGGCGGAGAAGAAAGAAAAAGCAGAGGAATCTCCATGGAGAACAATCCAAAGATACGAGAAAATGACTCATCAGATTATCTTCCTGAAGAACTGATCGCACAGATTCTGGTGAACTTGCCGTCGAAATCCGTAGTCAAGCTCATCGTCGTCTCGAAACTGTGGTCTTCTATAATCTGCAGCAAATCTTTCATTGATCTGTATCTAGAACGATCTTTGAATCGTCCATGTATTCTCTTCTCATTCCTTCGAGGCAACATCCGGTTCTTTCACTCAATCTTTGAGAAGGCAATCTTAGAGGAAGCAGCAGCGTCTCCGATTGGTGATTTCGAATCCTAGCACGGGCCAATTCTTGGTTTTACCAAAACTCAACACTAAGAGAAGACGAATATCAAGATTTTTCGGATACGATCCCATTGAAGATGAATACAAAGTCTTGTGCATGACGGTGTTGCAAGTTCCTTCCAACTCTGGTCCCGTTGTGAGCGAAGAGCATCAAGTTTTTACTCTAGGAGGAGCTGAGAAGAAGAAAGAAGCAGCATGGAGAATGATCACATGTAAGGTTCCACATTGTCCTGCAACGCAAGGGATATGCATTGACGGTGTTGTTTATTACGGAGCTTGGTCCAACAGTAAACGCAAAGGATCTCTAATTGTGGCCTTTGACGTGAGATCGGAAGAGTTCACTCTTGTTAAATTACCCGATGGTGTCGAAATTTATTATGATCGTGATTCTGAATTGGTGAACTACCAGAGGAAGCTAGCTTTAGCAAATCTCTCATATAAGGAAAAATTTGAATTGTTGGTTTTGGACAAACAAGAATGGTCAAATATCTCAGTTATGGTTCCTTCTTTGAAAGATTTAGTTGGACAAGACTTGTTCTATCTCAGAGGTGCCATTAGTTCCGGCGAATTCATATTCACACCAATGCATTCGGATTGGTCGTCCTTTATTATCAGTTACGATCGCAAGGAAGAGATCGCCAGAAGAGTTGAGCTTAAAGGAATTAAAGATCGCTCGCCTTATATGAGAGTCTTCTTGAATCATGTTGAGTGTCCTATCTTTCTCTAAAGGAATTCTTATAGTCTTTTTGGAGTTGAAACTTGTCATCTCCCAATTGCGTGCGTAGTCTCTTTGATCTAATACAATGATTCTGGTTATATTTGGAGAATACCATAATTTCCTAGACAAGACAGTTTTTTTCATTGTCAACAAGGTTATCAAATTTGTATATTAATGATCCTTGGCACATAATTTGAAGATAAATTCAGTGAATATATTTTGTTATTAGCTCCTTTTGTTAACATTGTCAGCAAGTTGCTCAGCAGATATGACAAGTGTAACGCTAGAAATTGAAGGGGTTTATATGAAATTTCCAAAGAAAAAACAGAAAGGATGAATTTGATGTAAGCATAAAACATCAGGGGTTTATATGCAAATTACCAATAAATAAATAAAAATGAAGCCAACGAGGGTTTTTGTTAGTTCACCGTTGTTTGTCTCAAACTCGGCCAAATCTCTGAAAACTTAATAATTTGGATATTTGTCATCGCATAGATCGATTCCTCTTGCGGAGAAATGCAATCGATTCGTGGCAGTACAAGGTTGCTTCAGAGGCACCGTTTCTCCATCTCCAACACTCTTCGTTTCACTTCTTCTTCTACTTCGTGTGGAAGCTGGTCTGAAAATGAATCAAGGAGGCTAGGGTTTGATTCTTTCCCTTGTACCAGAGCTGCGACATATCTCATTAGCTCGTTGAAAAATGTCGGGTTTTCCTCTTCGGCAATACCTGTAAGCCACTTTCCTTCTCTATCTTGGTTTAAGATTGTCGAAATGTAGAGGAGGTTTGTTTGGTAATGGAGATCTAATCTCAAATTGGTTTTAAAATTGCAACTAGTGTGAAAAAATGGAAACTTTGCTCTTGGGTTTGTCTTGCTCAATACTGATGAGTGTAGTCACTCTCCTAGCTTCAGATTCCACTAATCTCATCTTACAAAAATCAAATTAATTCAATGATCTTCTTTCTTCTTAAGCTCTTTGCTGTTTTACTTGCGCCTCTCCTCTTGTTGTAGTAAGAGTTATGTGTATATAGAGTAACCAACTTCGTGCTGTTGTTATTTATTTTTGGCTTTGACTCAAGTTTTATGGTTTCACAAGTTCTACTGTAACATGTTTTCTGTATTTTTGGGTTACAATGATATCTATCTAGATTACGCTTCTATGTGTTTAAGATGTTCTTGGGAATTTTTTTGGCAGAAACAAAACTTTACGTATTCGTCGAGGTGTTTTTCCACCACTGGAGATTCTGTTCAAGGATCCCCTGAGTCAGATTGTGTTGTGCCTCAGAGAATCAAGTTTAAACGGCTTGATAAAACCGCTAAGCATATAATGCAGGTACTACAACTCAAACTTAACAACTGTCATGGATAAATCATGTCATGTTTTACCTATGTCATAATCTTCGGCAGATTGTAGACAAGGAGGCAGTTGAGGAAGTGAGAACTCTTAGAGAGATTCCAGAGATAAAGCCTGGTTACATTGTGCAACTAAAAGTGGTAAGTACAGTTGGCCTTAAATTGTAAGTGGAACCTTTTATCTTCTAAGTGAAACCTTTCATAGGCTTGCCATTTACTTTGTTTGAACAGGAAGTGCCTGAGAACAAGAGGCGTGTATCAATTGTTAAAGGCGTCGTCATAGCAAGGCGTAATGCTGGTCTTAACTCAACATTTAGAATTAGAAGGCTTGTGGCTGGAGTGGGCGTTGAATCCATGTTCCCCTTGTAAGTACTTTTGTCAATTTCTCTCAGACTTTGTGTGACCATTAAGTAGGCATAATGATAACTCAAGCCACCATGTTTTTGTGTGGTCTCTTTGTCTTGGTCATGGTAAAAAACTGATGTGAGTAAGGATGTTTGGTGACAGGTATTCCCCAAACCTGAGGGAGATTAAGGTGGTGGACAAGAAGAAAGTAAGAAGAGCCAAGCTTTATTACCTCAGGGACAAGGTGAATGCTCTCAAGAAGCATTAACAAACCTTAATAAAAAACAGCAGTCTACTATTGTCTTAAAACAATTTTTGAGTGTTTTAGATACACTCCCTCAAAAGGAGACGATTTGGCTTAAGTGTCACATATTGAATCTCTTCATTCCTCTCTAATAATAAGTTTGTTTGCTTATTATCAGTTATCTCCAGTTTCGTGATAACTTCGTTAGCATATCAAGTTAGTAAAAAAATTTGTTTCTATCAAAGATAATTGTAAATAAAACAAAATATTTTTTCTACAGACGTCTGTAGAAGAAAAAAAAACGATTTTAAACGTTAAAAAATGATGCTACTCCTAAACAGTTTTGTAATTAGTGTCAAAACTCTAATAGAGTTTCTCTCTGCGTATAATTTGGTTTATAAATTAATTATGAGTTACGAACCCGACCCGACCCGGTCCCCGCCCTCGTTATCTCTCGATTAATTTTCTCAAAGAGCAAAAGCTTCTTCTTCGATATCTTCGTCGTGTAGTTTCGTCTCTAATTGTAAGTAAGTTTTGTTCTCTTACTCTTGTATCGGTCTCGAAGTAAAGATATCGAATGAAGCTAATTGTTTCTCCGCCTATTGCATAGACCTTTACGTTGATCCTGATTAATAGATTTGGAACCGAACTTTATTGTTTAGGTAACGAAATCAAGTTATGCAATCGTTGTTTCAAGTAGGAACACTTTAATTTTTGTGGGATGGGTACCAAATTTCTCAGATTTAATTTTTGGATATCAAAGTGCGTACTCAAGTTATCTAGGGTTTTCTAGAAGATTAGTTTTTGGAACGGAATTTGTGTTGTTAATAGTCTTATGATTTTGCTATTGAAGGTGATTTTTTAAATTGCATCAAAATGTCTAATAAGAAGAAGAAGAAGACTCGTAGCGGTTACTTGAAGAAGTCATCACAAGGAGGAGACAAACCTGAGATACAGCCAAGGAAACTAGTTCCAAAACCTGGTAAATTTGGGAAAGAGATTGATGATATCTTTACTGGGGTATATCAGAGGACGCCAGAGGTCCAAGTTCCCGAGTCGAGAGAGGTTAGAGCAGAGATTGCAAAGAAGAAGAGGAAGAGGAATGAGCTTAATGTTGGGGTCAATAACACCACGGAAAGCCGACCCAGGATGAGACGACCCAAGATGAGAACTCTCAATAACAACAACTTGGAAAGTCAACCCAGGAAGAGAACTCCAGAAGGGTTTCGAGTGTTCAAGGAAGAAGAAATTGGTTTCAACAGGACCGATGCTGGTGGTACTCGTCTTTGTCCCTTTGACTGTAATTGTTGCTTCTAACTCTTCTTAAACCAGTTTTGAACCTTTGTTTTCTGGTGCCAAAGGAGATTAAACTCGGTTTGGTGTTAATGGATGTATCATCTCAGATTCTCAGTTATAACCAGAAAAAAATACATTTTACTTTCTACCCATTTTGCTCCTAGTCTGATGAAATATCTGTCTGTTTGTATGTAGATGACTAGCTTGTTTTTTTGGTTCATATCTCACATTAAGATCAGTCCTTTTTGGTATACTCTCTTTTTGATATCATGCAATGGTTTTGGCTTTGATTAAAGTAAGTTTTGGTTTTGTCGTCAACTCGCAAGCTTCAGTTTTCTTTCTTCGTTATATTTTGATAGAACCAAAACAGCTTCTGCACATTTTTTCTTTCATGGTTTTTTTTTTTATTTACAGCTATACTCTCCATCAAGCTTTGTTCTCCATTCAAAACAAAATTTTCATTTTGGATATGCACTAACATTTGTTGTAGTAGTATTAGGAGTTAAATCAATCATCTTAATCTTCTCCATATACTTTCAGAATTTGGGATATTACAAGCTTTAGACTACACACACACACACACACTCGTGTATATAAATATATGTAGATATTTAGCAATAGTCAGCTTGTAGCTGAAAACTGGTAGATTTATAATAAAAGAACTCAGACAACAAACATCTTATGTTTATTAAGTTTCCACAACAAATTTAGAAACACACTCCTTTACATGGCATCTCCACCACAAAGAAACATGCAATGAAACGTCCACGATTTATTAGCCCCAAACTTTGGTTAAAATGTCTGAAAAAGTCCCTTTCACCCTTGAGGAAGGATTTGAAGCTCACTTGTTCCACCAATGCAAGAAATCCTTGCGCCTGTTGATTTTCTTCTGAAGCTGGAGTAGTCCATAGAGCAAAGCCTCAGCGGTTGGTGGGCACCCAGGGACGTAAATGTCGACTGGGACAATTCTGTCACATCCTCGAACCACCGAGTAGGAGTAATGATAGTATCCACCTCCGTTGGCACAACTTCCCATTGAAATCACCCACCTTGGCTCAGGCATCTGGTCATAAACCCTGTGATTGTATTCAGACATTAGAAGTTAGAATTTCACCCGGGATAAACAAGAACAGACCTTTCAAATCTTTTGAGTTGATCCGCATACACAACTACACAACTTCTCTCAATTCTACCAGATCAAGACTGATTTCTGAACATATCTCTAAAAACAAGTTTCTCACTAATAGTTCATTCAGCATAGAAACTAATCTAGCCCAACTTATAAAGCTGTCAATTATTACTCAAATGCATCGAAAATTTGCTCATCTCAATGGTTGATGTTTTAAGAACTTGTGGTTCCTTGTGGCTATTAGATTGACTTGGGATATATTCTTCCTCTAGTGTTTGGGCGTAAAGACATCGTTAGTATAAAACTCAGCTGCCTAGCAAAAACCATAGACATGCATTTCTTAACAACATGATTCTAATTTAAAAAACATAAGTTCTGCGGTTGAATGAAGACTTCATAAATCAAATAAGAAAAACTAGGAATCTCTTAAGTGTGTGGGATATCAATTTCCTATAAAAACACACCTAGCAGAAACCATGTGCATGGGGTCTCAGATTCTAACCAAGCAAAGTCACACGCAAGATTCTAATCAGTCAACAGAAGGAACTACAAATTAGATACAAATGCAAACATCGTAACAATGAATCTCCAACCTCTTATAAGTAAGACAGGGTTTGATAAATCCAAGTATGATAGGTGAAAGGACACTACCACATGTTTCCCTAATGAATAACAAGCTAGAAAACCTGAAATTCCATCGCCCCGCAAAAGACGGGCACAGAGCTTACATAAAAAGAGATATCACCCCAACAAATTAATTCATCCCTTAATGTTAGAAGGCTCTCAATTTCATGAAATTCGAACCAAAAACTTCAAGAATACTTTGTAAATCTGCAGTAGACAATGAATACGAAATGTACAGCTACCCAACTCAGTCTCAATTTGTCACAGACCTAACAAAAAAATCAGACTACATGAACCCTAAAATCGGTGGAAAGGAATAAATTCCAATAGAAACCCCCAAATTATATCCTCCGAAAACCTAATTTAGAGCCCTATCAAGCAGAAAACACACAAACTGGATAAAGAACGAATCTTCCCACAAATCAAGATAAACACCATATCCGAGATCCAAAGAGATAAACCAGCCGTTAATTCCATGGGAAAGGAAGATATAGCGAGAGAGCGACGTACTTGCGAAGAGCCGGAGCCATCTTATTGGTAAGAGTCCCGGCGACAATCATACAATCAGACTGACGAGGACTAGGTCTGAAGATGATACCGAATCGATCGAGATCGTAGCGAGCAGCACCGGTATGCATCATTTCGACGGCGCAGCAAGCGAGACCAAAGGTCATAGGCCAGATCGATCCCGTACGAGCCCAGTTCATGAGATCATCGACCTTGGAGATCACAAATTCGGCCGCTTTAGAGAGACCAGGAGGAGGAGGGGAAGTCGAAGGAGGACCAGGTCTGGTGTAGGAAGTCGGTGATGTGGAGGGAGATAGAGCGGGAAGGGATGTGTGGAGGTGAGAGACAGAGGCAGCCGCGGCGGCGCGTTGAGATTGGAGGAGGAGAGGGAGGCGCGTGGCGGTGTTGCGCGTAATCATCGCCATTGAGATTGTCTCTCTGAGTTTTTTTTTCCTCTCGTCGTGGAGTTGTGATAACCAAACGACTCTTAAACATTTACTATAAACAGGTGGACAAGTATTTATATGAATCGTATCATTTTTTTTTACCTTGTGTTTTTTTTCCTTACTTTTTTACAGTATTTGATTTGATCCATTTCATAAAACAATTATTTTACATTTATTTTATTTGCCATAATTTCTCTTGTAACTTTGTCATTACAAAAACTATTTAGACAGAAATTTTTAATCAAAACTTAAAAGTACTACGGTATTGATTATGGTTGTGACTCGTGATATCAGAAAATAGAAAAGTATTGAATTGAAAAAATCACATGATGTAGAAAAATGACATAGGCTTCCATTAGTAACATCGCATAACGAATTAAGTCGCAAAATGAAAATTTGTGAAATAAAAATCGTAGGATAAAAAATTTCATAATAAAATGAATAACTATATATTCACTTATTTGTATAATAAGTTTTTATTAGTAATTTTTTGGTAAACATTATGCAAATTTTTTTGTTGATAAGTTTTTTGCATAATCGCATTCAAAACTGCATTCAACTATTATGTCATGAATTGTCAAGTCTTATAGCATTTTCTCTCTTTATTTCTTATGAGCAAATTTTCGAAATCTTCATTTATCCACACTTCATAAATCATTTTTTTACAAATTTTCTAATTTATAAAATGCTATCTCCTTAATGGTATTGACAACTTTGCCATAATAAAAATAAAATAAAATAAATAACTCAATTTGAAAATGTAATGAAACAAATTTTTAAGTTTTTTACATTGGGATTCCCTCTCTTTATTCGCCCCCTTTTCTTTGAATTTTCATCTCTCTCATAGGGTTTCTCTATTTCCCTTCCAACTTCCCAAAATTCAAAATCTCCTCTCTGTCACCGGAAAATTCCGAAAATGCAACCTCCGATTTGCAAACCCAGACCCCAGAGTCACCTCGAATTTCTGAAACCGCTTCTCAATGACTCGATCAAGCAGCTCTTGGTACAGTACCGGAGCGGACGAACCAATTTCTCCGATTTCGACTCCATCTTCACTCGTATTCTTAACGATCTTCCAGAACCACCACCTCTCGAACTCGTCTGGTTCTATTCCGCCATCAGATTCTACTCTTCGAAATTAGCTTTCCGGGATGATTCCGTTAGGTTAACGTCGAGTTTCTTCCAGCTGCTAGTTTCGTTTTCCGATTCGTTTTCCGATTCGTTTTCCGGCGTTAAGAAGGTAGCTCTGTTATCTCCCGTTGTTTACCAGTTGAGTCGTCTGGTTTGTTCTAGGAGGAGAGAGGCTTTGAGCTTGTTAGAAGGGATTGTGAGCTATATTAGCATGTACTGTGTCGAGGAACCTGGAGATGAATATGATGATGTGTTGATGGTCTCTGGGTTTAGTTTTGCTGATTTGAGTCGTGTTTGGATTGTGGATGAAGTGGAAGATAATTGTAGAGTTGAGGATTGTTTGGAGATCTTCATGCCATTTGTTACTGAAACTTTGCGTAAAGAGATGGATTCTGAGTCCTGTCGCGTTGGTTACTTAGCTGGAATTGTAGCTTCTCAGGTGTTCTTGCTCAGTTTGTGCTCGAGGTTTGATTTGGAATTAAGTAGATCCGAGCTAGAAAAAGATCTGCGGGAATCTGTGCTTCAGATGATTTCTGGGTTCCACAGTTGCTACTTTTTTGGTGAGTGTTACTTTTTCTTAAGCTACTTTGCATTCTGTGGAAATTTATTTAGAGATGCATTATTTGACTAGAGGCTCCTTTTTTTTCATAAGTTTCAAGATATCTCAATTGGTTTGGTGTTCAATCATGTGTTCTTGTTCTTGTTACAGATGTCATTCTCAAGATGCTGCTGCTGGAACCATATCTGCATCTAACTTCACTACTGGTTGGTTCTTTGCTAAACTATGTTCAACTGTTTAGTCTCTTCACGCTGGGCGACTTGAAAGTTTGAAATTAGTGGCATGTGCTTTCTAAATGTGTATTCAATCGGATGTCCAAGAAAGTCTGTAGTTGCTTTATTGAATCAGATTGTATGTAACATGGAATTGAGATGGGAAGCTGTTTAATCTTTCAGGGTCCGGAAGATGAAGCTATTTTAACGGAAATCATAACGGAAGCTGTGATCAAGTCAGTGGAGAAGCTATTCTTCAACCCTGGAAATGGAACTTTGCAAAGAAGTTTACACTTGAAGAACATTGCTATCAACTGGTTGTTTCTTTTTGACAAGACTATGGCTTCCCTAAGGTATGCCTATAAGGTTTATAGAATTAATTGCTTCAGTTGCTTGATTGTTTTGCTTGATACTCCAAACGATTTATGCAGGAGATATAAAGATGAAGAAAAAACCAGCAGGTACATGAACATGTTCTCCTATTCACTTATTCCTCACCACTTGATCAATTGGGTAATCAGTCAAGGTGAAGTGATTAGAGATGCAGACGCACTGAGAAACTTGAC